GTTTCCTCCAAAAATCAGCATGATTACAAATGTGATATCGATTTTTATACAACTGTTCAATAAAAAAAGTTAATATTATGAGACTTACATTTTAGACACTACATTGCCTGTTTTTGCTCTATTTCGCCAACAAAAATAATTCCAAGCACAGTCACAGCACTGTTTTGCGTCTCTGAGCAACATGAGGGCGTTTCGTTCCTGAATGAAGCATTCGTTAAATGATTCGGTTCAATTGCAATGACTCACTTATTAACAGTGACTTGCTGCCACCTGCTGGCGGTTTTAATTTCACATTTAAATTTTCTAATATTTCAAATATCAGTATTCCACGTTTGATGTTTACAATATTAAAATATTATTTATGCATGTGTAACTGCAGGCTAAATGCATTCATGTCCTGCATTAATCAGTGTGTAAATGCATCTAAATGCCATTTCAGATGCAGCTTCTGTGTTTCCTCTGCATTGCAAAGATGAATTTTGTTGATTAATACTTTCATTTACTTGATAACAGCCCAAATGTCTTATTATAATTGACTGATTAAATGTAAGAATTTGACTCAAATAGTAATGCACACTTTTAGAAAAAATGGCTTTAAGGTAAAAATGACCATAAAAGGTAAAAATATATTTAAACTTATTGGAAAAGATTTGTCACTGCTGTGAACTGACCACCACACAGAATATGAAGAATATAAAAAATTTTAGGAGTCAGCTGTCCACTGTAGTCCTTAAGATATCAGCACAGTAACACTGTCAAATTATTGTTATCGATAAAATCCCAGAAAATATCGAGATATCATTTTTGTCAATATCGCACACCCCTAGCTGCCAGCCGTTCGGTGCAACTGGCAGAGCTGAATGTAAAATTTACCACCGCATACACCATCCTAACCCTCGCCAAAGAAGAGCTTAACTTTAGGTTGCTTACAAAAGAAATCTGTCGGTGTTCTTTTCATTTTCTCTCTTCTTCAGCCTTTTCTTTTTATCGCAGTAGTTAGCAGAAAGCAGTAACTGAGAGATTGACAGCTAATATTAACCAATACAAAATCTGCATTAAAGTTAAGAATGTAAGGATCAAATCTGTTAATACATAATTTGTAGTTGTGATGCTCATACATTTTTGGTGAGTGCTCCTAAATTTTTGCTGGTGCTCCTAACTTTTTGAAGTTGGGAGCACCAGTGCTACCAAGTAAAAAAGTTAAATTTGAGCCCTGAAATGGTGTATAAAATTGATTTTAAGATTAAAAAGTAGACAATAAAGAATAACTAAGCTCAAACTCAAAACACACGGCAGCAACAAACAGGAATTTATGCGAATATTAAAGGAACATTCTACTTTAACATTTTGCAAACATTATTAAATTTTTTGTCATAATCAGATATAGAGCACAGAGTAGAATAATTTTTTATTGACATTTAAATTGTATTTATTTTTTACAGTTGTGATCTTGAGCAAGTGCATTTTTAATAAAGTCACAACTGTTAAGGTCATGAGAAAAATGTCACCAATGTCAGAGTGTTTGATTCTTCATTCAAGGTCAATCCTGCCACCCAGATCAGAAACAAAACCCGACTGTGAGAAATATGACCAGTCTATGAATCAACCACAAGACAGCACGTATCCTGGTGTGAGGTAAACTGTGGGATTTAATGCAGTGCATCATCACACATTACTCAAATACATCATTAATAACTGACACGTTTCATAAACCCTATCATATGTTCAGTGACTCATAACACAGAAAACAAAAATATCTCTGTACCTCATGTAATAATGTGGTATTTGAATTTTTCAGGCATGAAGTCCTCAACATGTTTAGATCAAACCTGATGAAGAAGTTTGAGCGTCTGTATTTACTTTTAGACACTATATTGGCAGTTTTTTCTCTATTTCGCCAACAAAAATAATTCCAAGCACAGTCACAGCACTGTTTTGCGTCTCTGAGCAACATGAGGGCGTTTCGTTCCTGAATGAAGCATTCGTTAAATGATTCGGTTCAATTGCAATGACTCACTTATTAACAGTGACTTGCTGCCACCTGCTGGCGGTTTTAATTTCACATTTAAATTTTCTAATATTTCAAATATCAGTATTCCACGTTTGATGTTTACAATATTAAAATATTATTTATGCATGTGTAACTGCAGGCTAAATGCATTCATGTCCTGCATTAATTAGTGTGTAAATGCATCTAAATGCCATTTCACATGCAGCTTCTGTGTTTCCTCTGCATTGCAAAGATGAATTTTGTTGATTGATACTTTCATTTGCTTGATACCAGCCCAAATGTCTTATTATAATTGACTAATTAAATATAATAATTTGACTCAAATGATAATGCACACTTTTAGAAAAAAATGGCTTTAAGATAAAAATGACCATAAAAGGTAAAAATATATTTAAACTTATTGGAAAAGATTTGTCACTGCTGTGAACTGACCACCACACAGAATATGAAGAATATAAAAAATTTTAGGAGTCAGCTGTCCACTGTAGTCCTTAAGATATCAGCACAGTAACACTGTCAAATTATTGTTATCGATAAAATCCCAGAAAATATCGAGATATCATTTTTGTCAATATCGCACACCCCTAGCTGCCAGCCGTTCGGTGCAACTGGCAGAGCTGAATGTAAAATTTACCACCGCATACACCATCCTAACCCTCGCCAAAGAAGAGCTTAACTTTAGGTTGTTTACAAAAGAAATCTGTCGGTGTTCTTTTCATTTTCTCTCTTCTTCAGCCTTTTCTTTTTATCGCAGTAGTTAGCAGAAAGCAGTAACTGAGAGATTGACAGCTAATATTAACCAATACAAAATCTGCATTAAAGTTAAGAATGTAAGGATCAAATCTGTTAATACATAATTTGTAGTTGTGATGCTCATACATTTTTGGTGAGTGCTCCTAAATTTTTGCTGGTGCTCCTAACTTTTTGAAGTTGGGAGCACCAGTGCTACCAAGTAAAAAAGTTAAATTTGAGCCCTGAAATGGTGTATAAAATTGATTTTAAGATTAAAAAGTAGACAATAAAGAATAACTAAGCTCAAACTCAAAACACACGGCAGCAACAAACAGGAATTTATGCGAATATTAAAGGAACATTCTACTTTAACATTTTGCAAACATTATTAAATTTTTTGTCATAATCAGATATAGAGCACAGAGTAGAATAATTTTTTATTGACATTTAAATTGTATTTATTTTTTACAGTTGTGATCTTGAGCAAGTGCATTTTTAATAGTCACAACTGTTAAGGTCATGAGAAAAATGTCACCAATGTCAGAGTGTTTGATTCTTCATTCAAGGTCAGTCCTGCCACCCAGATCAGAAACAAAACCCGACTGTGAGAAATATGACCAGTCTATGAATCAACCACAAGACAGCACGTATCCTGGTGTGAGGTAAACTGTGGGATTTAATGCAGTGCATCATCACACATTACTCAAATACATCATTAATAACTGACACGTTTCATAAACCCTATCATATGTTCAGTGACTCATAACACAGAAAACAAAAATATCTCTGTACCTCATGTAATAATGTGGTATTTGAATTTTTCAGGCATGAAGTCCTCAACATGTTTAGATCAAACCTGATGAAGAAGTTTGAGCGTCTAATTATATTGTTTTCATTTTTACTCAATTACAGTACAATTACACTTTTACTCAATTAATAGATAAATGTTAATTTAATCCAGTCCTAACATTTTTTTATTTGTCTAAATTTGCCCATTTGACATTAATGCATGTGCCATTTTTTCTAATGGTTTGAATTAAGAGAAGATGTTGAGTCCAGCAGAGCGTGAAGAGATTCCCAAGACTCTCACTCAAATGTACACACACTTCCTGATGTTTTTCTAATGGTTTGAATTAACAATATTTGAATTGAAAGTTGTTGTTCATTGCAGCAAGTTGTTTGATTGTTTTTTGATTGTTTTTTTGATAGAGTTTCACATGAATGATGGATCCATCAAACATATTGATTTGTGCTTTAAAGTGTTAGTTCTCCCAAAAATGAAAACTGTCGTTAATTACTCTCCCTCATGTCGTTCCACACCTGTAAGTCCTTCATTCATCTTCGGATCACAAATAAAGATATTTTTGATTAAATCCGAGAGCATTTTCTCCCCCCATTGAGAGAAACGCAACTACCACATTCAAGATCCAGAACGGTAGAAAAACATCATTAAAGTTCTCCATGTGACTCCAGTGGTTTAACCTCAATTTTATGAAGCGTCACGAGTGCCTTTTTTACGAAACTTTATTTACTAAAATAACTATTATTTTACTTTATTTACAAAAATATTAACCAGCGAAAGTGCTTCTGTGAATGCGCTGGATATTCTTTTGGGAAAATATTTTTACACAGAATCACTTTCACTGTTGAGTCAACACAACACGCATATCGTCTACTGGATTGCAGGTCAATGTTTTCTTAAATAAAGTGGTGCTCTCAGATTTAATCAAAAATATCTTCATTTGCGATCCGAAGATGAACGAAGGACTTACAGGTGTGGAACGACATGAGGGAGAGTAATTAACGACGGAGTTTTCATTTTTGGGTGAACTAACACTTTAAGTTTGTACTTTATCTTTAATAATGGTTTCACAGCTAAACTGATCTGATCTGAGAGAGTGAAGAGTGTGTCATTGTTCTCTACAGGTTGAGAGATTGTGGCGTCACAGATGAAGGTTGTGCTGCTCTGGCTTCAGCTCTGAGATCAAACCCCTCACACCTGAGAGAACTGGATCTGTCTGGGAATAAACTAGGAGATTCAGTGAAGCTGCTTTCTGATGTACTACAGGATCCTCACTGTAAACTGGAGAAACTTTGGTAAGATCATATATGACTCACACTGTAAAGTATACTGTATGTGACGTGCAAAATAAATTAGTTTGAAAACAAAATTACAAATCCAAAACAACAAAATCTAAACACAAACCCAGTCAGAAAACACAATGACAAATTAGACAAAACAGAAAAGCTAGGTATTGTTTGCAAATTGAATACTTATCACTGATTGGACGAGACATCTGTTAATCAAGACGTACAGAAAGTTAAAAATTGTGACCAGCTTTGTTTTTTGTACATTTCTGTGTTCATTTTAACCCTTTTTTTTTCAATAGCAAAAACCTTTTAAATTGATTGTTTACACGTAGTGCACATAGTCCATCAGACAAAATTACAACAGAAACCAGTCACATACTGTAAGTGGGAGAGTAAGGACAGTGGGCTTAGCTTCTGACACCAACCCGAGTACAAATCTGCCTTTTCCTGATCCCTTCCTTCTCCCTCTTTTCCATTACATTAGAGCTCGGAGATGTGTTTATTTTAAACAAAAAATAAATATTAAGAAAATGGGGATTTAATAGTGGGATTAAAGTGCCTAATGGGTATTTAATAGGTCTTCTAATTGATCAGGCAGGCTGGCAGATCAGACATGTGCAGCTCATATTTTTACATTTCTCAAAACCGTGGCTCTTCATGGAGCGTCGCAGGTTAATCATGGTTAGGGTGAGGAGTAGGTGTAGGAGTGCGCTTTAGGGAGAGCCACAAGTAGGGTCCCAATAAAGCTGCATCCACTTATGATTATAATAAATATAATCAAATACAATGAATATGTTACTACATGGGGCGGCAGGGTGGCTCAGTGGGTAGCGCTGTTGCGTCACAGCAAAAAGGTCCCCGCTTTGAGTCCCAGAGTCAGGAGGCCTTTCTTGCATGTTCTCCTCGTGTCTGTGTTGGTCTCCTCTGAGTTTCCCCCACAATCAAAGACATGCAGCAGAGGTGAATTAGACACTATAAATTAACCGTAGGTGTGAATGTTTGTGAGCCCTGTGATAGCCTGGCCGTCCGTTCAAGACGCTGAGATAGACTGCAGCCACCCACAAACCTGCAGAGGATAAAGCAGACTGGAAAATGGATGGATGTTATAATGTTTAATAATAGACTGCAATACACAAATAATATCTAACAATGCAGGTGATCGCAATAGATTTGACAGTCTTTGGTGATGGAGGAGAAACCTGTAAACACTCACACAATCACTCCTCCAGACATACTAGTACAGATCCATGTAGTGAAGAGACTTTGCATAAAAGTACAGCCATAGTGCAATAAAGAAATATTTCTCTTTCTTGATCATAAAACATCCAAAATTTAATTCATGTTTTGTGTTCTGTGACATTTTAGATCTCAGTCCAATGATCCATCAAACATTGATTTGTGCTTTAAGTTTGTTCTTTATCTTTAATAATGGATTCACAGCTAAACTGATCTGATCTGAGAGAGTGAAGAGTGTGTCATTGTTCTCTACAGGTTGAGTAAGTGTGGCGTCACAGATGAAGGTTGTGCTGCTCTGGCTTCAGCTCTGAGATCAAACCCCTCACACCTGAGAGAACTGCATCTGTCTAGGAATAAACTAGGAGATTCAGTGAAGCTGCTTTCTGATGTACTACAGGATCCTCACTGTAAACTGGAGACACTGAGGTAAGATCATATTTGACTCTCACACATGAAGCACATTATAAAGTATATTTGAAGTGTTCAGCCTCTTTCTGCTGCTGTGAGTTCAACTGACTGAGCTGTAACACATGAGCTGCTCTTTACAAATGATCACTTACTGATTGCAAATTACATGATGAAAATTGTAGTTAGTAACAATCTATGGAATAATACATTTTAGGTACAGATCATCTTATCTGTCTTAAGTTATATTCGTGATGCTTTCATTAGGAAATATATATGGGATGCATCTGTCTTTCCCTCAATATTTCTAAAAGGC